GAGCTGCTTTTATGGTACGCAATGAAATATTTTTTAACACAAAACTGGTTTACGCCGGGGTCTTATATTGCTTCACTGACGTATTTACGTCACGCATATGATGTTGTACAATATATATCAACAGCAAAAAAAAGGAAGAGAAAGTTCTGACGCTTGGCGTCAAATCTACCATCCGTCACTCCACAGCGCGCGGCACGAAACAACTATATAACAAAGCACACGTCGGCCAGCTTTCTGATGGCAGGCTATTTATATACGCCACATATCATTTCGTGGTCTATAGAGCTCCGAAACTTCAAAGAATTTCTGTCATCAGCCGCGAGATGGCGCAAAGGCACGCGTTGGGTGCGCTTTGAAGATCGTTGCCCCTCACGTTGAGATGCACGTACGCTTCCACGAGGCGCGGTCACTTGGAGTGCGTGCTTCTGCAGCTGTTCAACCAGCGACACACTCGCAGCAAACAGCAGCGGTCTCTACGTTCATGTTTCAATCCAAATAAAAACTCAAGGTGGCCTTGCAACACAATTCCACACTCGTGATTCTAAAGCGTGGTCATGGGTCAATTAACATTGGCCATCAATACTCAATCTCCTACTGCTCTACTGGACCGCACTGATCTACTGCTGTACTATACAGCACTTATTTATGATGGAACTACAATATCGCAACTGAATGCGACTAAGTTACCCTACGTAATTTCATAAGTTCACGCTCGTCGAGGCGTCCATAAATTATCGTTCATTCCCATTGTGCTACTCAGTGTTTTGTGACGCATGCATTTTTTTTTTCAAAACTTCGGTAGTTGCGTTCACTCGCATTTTTTATACTTCTTACAAGCACATTAAAACATCGATGATACGATCACGGCTCGTAAGAATTTCGGGATAATACAATTGTTTGTCCCGGCCAAGGCCCATTGGGCTGCAGTGAATGTAGTATGGTTGTTGCGAACTGATTGCACCGAGTGGCATTTGATACGAATGTAACGATACCACACTAACAGGTGCGGTCCGCGCTGTTGCGTAAGACGCGACATGCAAGCTTAAACGCGGGAACACAAGCATGACATGCGTGCGGCACCGCCAGTTCATCAGAATCACGGCGTATAAAAACAGTTTTTTTATGCTGCGTTCACAAAATGAACCTTTGCTATGGTACCATACCTTTACTGATGCTTCGTAGGCTCCGAGATAGTGCGCGCCAATCTTTCAGCCTTCGTGTGTCTGCACGTTTAGATTACAGACAGTTAGCGTCGCATTCACCCCCCCCCCCCTTTTTTATTTAAGGCGTCAATGTGTAATGACATCATCGTAATATATTTGCACGTGTCTGCCACGTCGATGCAAGCCATATTCTCACGCATCAGACATATTAGGAAAGGTGGACGAGAATCGGAAGAGGAATGCGGAAGGTCTTGACGAAGTAGCTTAGCCTCACGACTTCATGCACGATTATTTGGCGTGCGCACCATCCGCCAGATATCGATTTGTGCGGAGACTGGCCGTCAATCTCCCGAAAAACGTCTCCAACCCCACTGCGATAAGAAAATTATAACAAAGGACAGAAGCTATACAGTTTCCTGGCTCCATCTGTCACATTCAATGTGCTATAAAGACGATAGTCTTTCTTGGGGTACTCCTGACGCAAACATTTTTGTCTGTCTCTCTTGCCTTTCTGTCTGTCTATACATTTGTCTGTTTGTCCGTCGTAATATGGCCTTAACGATATCTCAAACGGCCAACCCCATTCCGCAGCACCAAGCACTAATCCTCAAGTTTAAGCGTTCATACTTCTGTGGTTGTCAATTAAAAGCAATTATTATGCATATCTGAGGCACCATAACAACACGACAGTATTCTGTATGTGTGTCTTACACTAGGGAAGGCATACACAAATATTTCTAAGGACCGTAGCGTTTATCATGCTGCGCTGACAATGCAACGCTATGCTCAAAGGGGCAACTTCTTGCTAAGACTTCACGGTGGTGGAATTTGCCCATCACTTTGCGTTCTACACCTTATCACCTCCGAGAGAGGTGAGAACGCCTTCATTCGTTTTCGAAGATAACTGCCAGATAGCGCTCGTGTTTAACGAGCCTCGATGTGCTCGTTTGCCTTCACTGCATGGATGGAGACACTCTTACGCAGCGCAGCGCCTCCAGTATACAATTCATCGATTTTCTCACGCAGAACATCAAATAAACGTTTTCTTCACTCTCTCGAGACGCAAGACTATCGTCTTTCGATGACACTTGCAGAGAAACATACAGATACGGGGCCAACTTTTAAAGTAACTTTTGCTGCAGTACTTGTGTCTCATGCAAAAAAGCCTACAAATATTATGAAAAAGCTACTATTCGAGGCACTAAATGAGCTAACCGACGTTAGCGTTGACACAATGAACAATAATCTTACTATCATCAAAGAGTGTTCAATGGAAGTCGAAGGTACAGTCACTAGACAAGACACCGACAGACTATCTCAGGAGACAAAAAATCTTGTTAAGAGCCGACAAACCATGAAATTCTCTAATGCAACTGACAAAATAAAGCTAGTGGAGCTTTTCAATGTTAATCGATAGGCGTAAGGTAGCCGACATTGGAAGGTATAACAAAGAGAGAATTGAGCTGGCAGTAAGAAGCGGCAGAAGCCTAAAAGCTACGAAGGCAAACTTGCGCATAGGCAAAAATCGGATGTATGCATTAGGGAACAAGGAAGGCAATGTCATAATGTTGTTTCGTGAGTAAAGTCAGGACAATCAGGATGATATTGTTAGAAACAATAATAGTTTAGTGAAATTGGACAACCTACCAGTAACAACAGGGGAACTAAGGAAAGCCCTAGAAGGAATGCAAAGAGGCAATACCGCTAATGAGGATAAGGTAAGAACGGACCTCCTGAAAGATTGCGAATAAATTGCGTTAGAAAAACTGGCCACCTTATATACGAAGTGTCCACTGGCGAGAAGGGTACCAGAATCTTGAAAGAACGCCAACATCATCAAACCAATATGAAAGGAGACGTCAAGGACTTGAAAAATTACAGGCCAATCAACTTACTGTCCGTTCTCTACAAACTATTTACAAACATATTAGCTAATAAAATTAAAGAGACATTACAGTTCAATCAACCAATCCACCAAGCAAGATTTGGTACAAGCTGCTCCACAATATACCGTTCTTACTATCAATCAGGTAATTGAAAAATGCTTGGAATACAACCAGCCCCTATACATAGCCTTCCTATATTGCGAGAAAGCGTTTGATTCAGTCGAGACGTCAGCAGTAATGCGGGGACTACGGCATCAGGACATCGGCGAACCCTACATAAACATACAGGAAGAAATCTCCATTAGATCCACAGCCACCATAGTTCTTTATAAAGACCACGGCCAAATCCCAATAAAGAAGGGTGTAAGGCAGGGAGACATGAACTCTCCAATGCTATTCACCGTGTGTTTACGGGAAGTTTTCAAGACCCTAGGTTGGGAAGAGTTAGGGATAGGAGTTAATTGAGAGTATATTGGTAACGTGCGATTCACTGATTATTGCCTTGATGGATAACTCAGGGGACGAAATACAGCTCATGATAACTGAACTGAACACGGAACGCAAAAAGTATGCTTGAAAATTATTATGCACAAAACTAAAGTAATGTGCAACAGTCTCGGTAGAAAACAGCCCTTAGCGATAGGTGGAGAGATGCTGGACGTTGTAAAGAAATAACCACGGAGCCGAACCATGAGATTAAAATTAACAAAAGCATAAGGATGGAGGGGACCACATTCGGCAAGCATTCTCAAATCATGATTCTTAATCTGTCATTAATCCTCAAGAGGAAGGTATGTAACAGCTGCATCATACCAGCAGCACCAGAAAAAATACACGACAGGGAAGGAGTAGAACAGAAAGAAAAAAAAGAAAAAAAGAAAAGACGTCTTTTCTTTCTGTTCTACTCCTTCCCTGTCCTCTATTTTTTCTGGTGTTGCACTGTAAGTAAGTGCACGATGGATCCTAACCAACTGGCCCAACTTACCGTCTTACTGCATCATGCCAGTACTTACCTACGGAGCAGAAACCTAGAGGCTTACAAAGGGGGTTCAACTTAAATTGAGGATGGCGCAGCGAGCGATGGAAAAGAAAATGATATAGGTGTAACCTTAAGAAACAAGAAGAGAGCAGAGCGGGTCGGGGAACAAACCGAGGTTAAGGATATCATAGTTGAAATCAAGAAGAAGAAATGGTCATGGGCCGGGCACGTAGCAGTAAGACAGGATAACCGGTGGCCATTAAGGGTAATTGACTGGCATTCCGAGAGAAGGCGAAGGCGCGAAGTGGAGACAGATTGTTAGCATGACCGATGAGATTGAAAAGTTCGCAGGTGTAAAATGACAACAGAAGGCACAAGTACAAGTTAATCGGCCAATTATTGGAGAAAATTTGCCATGCAGTGGGTGTAGTCAGGCTGCTGCTGCTGCTGATGATGCTGATGATGATGATGATGATGATGATGATGACTTTTGTCGCGGGTCACAGCGCACCTGGTTGTCTGCTCACGCACACACGCCCCGTATATTTACGACTGCGAGTGTTATTGTTGGTGCCTGAAACTTTCACTGACAATCACACAGATCTCTTTGTGACGTTGCTGCGCCCCTGATAAACAGCAAATGAAAACGTGCGCTAGCTTTCTCATGTCTGGCGCCTATGAGACAAACACAAGCCGTGACGTATGGATGAAGAGCTAAACGAACGCATGTGGTTCATCTCATGGGCACCTTCTTTCTTCCGTGAACATGCTCCAACTATTCCAACTAAATCTTCTTCTCCAACTCTGTGATTTTATTCACAAGCAAACTTTCCATATTTTTTTCGTCATACAAAGTGCCGATGATACGAATATACGCCACGACATTCGTAGTTACGGAAGTTTCACTGCATTTGCTTTGACTATTTTGTACAACCAAAGAGGTTGAAGAAAAAAGAAAGCAAGGACAGAACGTGTTTGACCAGAATAAAGGCTGTTTTTATTCACGTATCTCTTGTTTCAGTCACGACAATCAAATAAATACAGCTTGATAAGAAAGAAAAAGAAAGACCTTGCGGTAGCACCTTATATGGTGCGCACTATATTCATTCATTCATTTTTCAACATTTCGCTCAATGCAGCATCTTCAGCGTGAACGTGGCATAATACATCTGCCAAGGTGAAGCGTGGCAAAAAGCCACTGCAAACGTACTGCGATACATGCTGAAACATCAACGTGTGTGTTTTTAAGTTGAAAGACTATCAGAGACACGACACCTTCGAAGTTCTCATCGTACAATAATTAGCTGACGCGAAAATTGAAGCAACAAACAAGACATAAAAACACGTAAATAAATACCTATATACATAATTCATAAATAACGTTTTTCTCTCCCACAAGCAAGCAGCAAAGTCGTCAAACAAGGGAAAGATAAAACATAGCGAAAAAATGAGCTTTTCGTTTCATTTTATTTACATCGATCTTCACATGACGTGCCAAGAGGAGCATGATAACTAGACTCTCGTCTTAATTCTGGTGAGTCGATCAAGCGTTTACGCTATAGATATAATAGACATTACCACAAATTCGACCAAGTGTTTGTGTCTAGTGCAAATTGCATGTACTTTTTGATATAGAACCGGGGCCTGCCTTTTAGTGTCTAAGTAAAGCACTCTTGATCGTTGTGGTTCGTGAGCATATAACACAGTGCTGTAACACTAGAAACGGCAGATCTAGTGGTTATTTGCATACGAGAACACTGGCATGTTCTCGTCTGAACATTACGAAGTGTGAAAGCACTCCTGAGACTGTCACGAAAAACGCTGAGAGCATTTCTTTTCTATTTCCGGTCTCTGGCCCGCACTATTTAACAGGACAGTGAATGTTGCACTATCTTCACGTCGTTGTGGTTGTGTGGCTCTCCTCGATAGAATAATCATGCCAAGTTTTCTTTTTATGAAAAAGAATGTATATAATGCAGCAGTCAACGAATCAGCTGCCGAGCTCTGAGGCTACGTTTCCGAGAAAATTCCTGGGCCCTCACCATTAAACAAATGTGCCTTTCCCTTGTATGCCTCTTCCTAGTAGCGGTTGTGACAAACGTGTGAAAAGGAATAGCAAAATTGTTATTTGCCTTTACTTTTATGTCGCTTGAATACTATCTGATACAATCTATTTAAAAGAGATAGATTACAATAATAAATAAGTTATTACAAACTAGCGCACAAATTGTAAATAAATACGTTAAAAACACACGAAATAAATAATAGCTGTCTTCAAAACCAGCATGCTGCCAGGTAAATACACAGGTGTTGCATGTCTCATGTGTGATGCGTGACGTTTCTGGCTCGTTCCTACAGGCGCATATGGCGGGAAGCGAGAAATAAAGCGATGATGTTGACTGTACTAGCAACCACAGCCCAAGCCCTTTCGTACGAATCTTTACTTTTATTTGGTGTTCTGCAAAACTCACAGCATCACTGAATATGGCACTCGTGTTAAAATCTGTTGACGATATTGTGTACGAAATAGTGAAACTAAACGTAAAAACTAAAATAGCACTGCTCATGAACCCTTTACACCTCACCCTTCATTCTACAAAATACCATACTAGAACAAGCTACTAGCCAGAAGTCCACTTGAGAAACTCTAAGATGCCCTTAACTAAGAGAACTGTGAATCTTCCGATCTCTTTAACTAGAGTTGGTCGTTGTAATAAACTTTTCGATTACTGCATCCACCGAAATCGACTAATATCTGCCCTGTGAAAAAGCACCCGCCTTTTAACAATTCTACACAACTAAAGTGCACTCTAAAATCTTCTAATGCAACGCAAAATCATCTGTAAACTGCACGTTTATTAGTTTGGCTTAGATGGCTCAATTTGATTGGCGACGTGCCTCTCGGAAGCACGTTCAACGTGCACACAACGTTATTCAGGTGGCTTAGATTTCATAAAGCGTCATGATGCCCAAGCTGCCTTATTTCGAAAAGACATATTTCCTACATTCACAAACAATTGAGAAAACACGACTACAGCATGCTATAGTCCTCGCTGTCGAATGGGCACGGGAGTAACGTTACAATCCCGTTTGTTTCAGAACAGCTCTCTCTCTCTCTCTTTATTGAGTTAACGACGTTCACTGCAATGATTGAATGATTGTTTTGGCACCAAAGAGATCATCGTTCAATGTCAATTATGAGTGACGCCGCAACACCTACTTTTGTCAGCTCTACTGACACCTCGTCCCAATTATTTAAGTAGGCTGAGACTTTCTTTGCATATAAATTGGTTTGTCGACAACTATGCAAAGCAATAACGCAGAATATTTACTTAGGTACAAAGCTATTCACCCTGTGACAAAGAAACGTAATAAAACTAACCCGAACGAAAAACTCAAAAGACAACATGCTTTGGCTTTTGGACAAACAACACCATACATTATCACGTACACGCTCGTCCTGGACATCTCGCAAACGTTGACGAAAAACAGCGCCAAGAACAGGATTACCACTGACACGGTTGGCATTGAACTTCATGGATATGGCGAGGGCCCCATTCTTGTAAGGCTTTTCTTTTCCTTCGCAGCATCCTCAGACGGGCCCTTCTCAGCGAGGAATTACCGAAGCCACTAGTAGGCTTCTCGAGACTCTGGGATACCCTCCGCCCTCTTTTGCAAAATAAACGGGTCGCCTTGCCAGTACAATCAAGGACTCGGCGAGCGCGTCGCGTCGCTTCCATGTAGCGTCTCGCGATGGTCCAGGTTGGGAAGAGAGTTCGGGATCAGGACTGTGGTGAGGCTCGGGAAGAAAGTTTTTCCGACGACATCTGGGCAGGTCTCCGGCGAGTGAAGCCCTTGGGTTTAATCCGCGCTCCGTCCTCGGACGTCCCGTATGGCCCTCAGCAGGAGTCCGTATCGGTCCCGGCTGGGCCGGGCAGCCGGTCGCTCCAGGACAAGCTGCTCACGCGAGGCCGAGTTGCCGCCGGGGGCGGCGCCCCCGGCCGGGCGGTCGTTGTCGACGTCGTCGTCTACAAGCACCGACTGGACGTCGAGCACGGGTTCTCGGATGAGGGCGATGGCTCGCGACGAGTCCCTCTTGCCGAACCGCATGAAGGTTCTCAGTCGGCAGCGCTCGCAGGCGTCCTCGCCAGGGTCCTTCTGGCAGAGTGCGCGGCAGCGGGGCGGCTGAGCACCCGCCCATGACGGCGCCAGCAAGAGCGCGAGCAGCGAGCTGACCAGGCACAGGTACGTGAGGGTCATCGCGGAGGCTGAGCCTGCGTGGTCCGAAAGGAAGAAGCAGCAATAAGCGGGTGAAGCAGACAGAGAGAGACAATATGCAGGGATGTTAACCAGTTTAAAATGCCTGGTATACTATACCCGACACTGTGAAGAGAGATGGGGGCTTTTGGAAGTTAGAAGAGTAACGAAAGAGAAAGAAAGCACACACGCACACAACGTTACAGTCCGTAAGTCTTGTGCAGTGTACGCCGTCCGTATCTATCTACAGACGCTCATGCAAGTCTGTTATCCTAAGAAAATTTATCAATGCATTCGTGCTCGATAAAACAGAAACTTCTTACCTATATCTCACGTAGACATCACTTGAAGTTACATAATTTTGTCAGCACATTGCTACACCAGCCGACATTAGTCATCATTAGCCACCAATCGTTCTCCATATGCTAGAACTGCCCATCACGCTTGTGCAGCCTCTACAAAACTCTTACCGTATGTTCAGATAGAAAATACACATAACGCGCATGCTATGCCCACTTTACTAGTTCTTCGCATGACCCTTCTATTCTAGGACCCCCTACACAATATTGACACATTGGTGTACAGAGAGGCATTCAATATACATGGAGACAGGTAACGCTTAGGTGTACACGATGCTTGCGGAGACGGCGAGCTTATACAAAATTGTGATACGTTGAGGTAATCACGATTCGCAATTACGAGCAGTGTCGAATACGAAAATTCCTCAGTTTCACGTCTGGGTCACCTCCGGGTGTTCGGAATCTTTCTGGAGTTTGTCAGCGATCGTAAATCAGTCTTCGAATGGCGCCATCGTGTCGCTCTAGGGCATGTAAGTCGTTTGTCAGATCAGGTGATGCACAGAAGACATACCTTGGTGGATGTCAGCATCTTGCCGAAGTATCACCCTTTTTTTATCTACACCGCCAGGCAACGACGCAACAGCGAAAAGGCACGCGGCCACATCGTTTAATTTGGCGGGTAATGTGTGCGTGCTTCTGTCACAAACACGAACCTTATCTTTACTTTTTCCTGACGTAGTGCCGACTTTCCCACACGCATGCTTGCTGCGGGCACTTCGTGCGTGTTGAATAGCTAGTAACACTATTTGGCATCCCGCAACCTCAAACCGCGAAGCACCATCGATTGAGAGAACTATGCAGCATACAAGGACAAAAAAAACAACACCGTTGCAACTTGAATAGCTTGTCGCCTGTCCACTTTTATCTTACAAAACCGTATTCTGTATACTAACAGCTAACCTCGCTAGCCCCACGAGCCTTTTTAAGAGATAGATGATAGAGCAAGTTGAAATTTCTTTCAAGGAAACAATAAAAATAACTAAACAGGCAGCAAAAGAAATAAGACGCTGTTAAAAGACAGGGCTAACAAGTAAAGTGATATCCCAACGATGACATATTCATACAGAGAAAAGTAACGTTTGTAATAACAGAATATGGCTACATCTATGCATAGAGATTTTAGCAACTTTTTTGTAATATAATGAAGCTGTGTATTTCTTTTAGGGGATTCGAGACAATGCTAATGCTGCAAGGAATTGATAGACTTATGCAAGTGACAGTATGGTTACATTTCTCTCCTTTAGTTCCTTGCGATAGGTCCCAGAGATGTGATTAGAAAGGGTTATCAATTTAAGGCATTTCTTTGCGTACTGCAAGCACTTTTCCGTCTATCTGCGCATCTATCTATCTATCCAGCCTCTTACGTCTGCGTGCTCTCGTGATCAGCCCCTTAACTTGGCGTCAACCGAAATTGGTATAGGAGGGTAGGATGGTTTGACGAATTCGTAGCGCTGGTCAAGACATGAATAAGGTCACATTCCCGTCGCGTACGTCGTCAAACACTTCCCGCCAGACAGTGACACGCACATCCGCGGGCGAGTATGTGCCACAGGTGATTGACAGAATCTACTCTGGAACGACGAGAACACACGCAGGTAATTTAATACGTGAGCCTTAAGAAAAACCTGACATCAGCAGCGTTGACCCGGCGAACGCAAAAAAATAAATGCCAGGGGTTCCTGCAGGAACCAAACCCCAGAATTTTGCGCGGCAGTCAAGCATTCTGCCACAGAGCCACGCCAGGTCTCGGGGCTACTTTTCAAATAGACCCTAATGTTCGTGGAAACTCAGTTGTGGTTGCAGTGCTGACTATCCAATTTTAAAAACAATACATATGTGCTCCTTTGATACATCCGTCACGTCGGGTTAATTGTAGTTAGGTGCTATGCACTGGAATTGATTTGTGTCGCAGTGTCGAGCGCTATCATCCTTGCAAGCACCAGCTCATCATTTCTGGTTTTGCTAATACTCACGTTCCTGTTGACATAATTGCGGAAGTACAAACTGGTTATATAAACACCAGCAACTGTTTAACCCATGTCTCTGTGTACCATAATTGTACGTATATTTAGCGTCATTTCGTAACGTGTCGCTCATTAAAAATTTACAGCACGGTCACCTTCCCTCCACTCACTTCGCATAACGTCTATTCACAGGCACGTGGGATTCCGCAAATTTTTCAATCAACCAATCAGCCAATTCAACGTTTAATCAATCTATCAGTCAGTCAATCTGCTGCACACGCTCTCTCGGATTGCAAAAGCTTTAAAAGTGATTCCATTAACTTGGAGCGTATGGCACAATAGTCCCTACTCATAGCGCGAAGAAATGTCCGGAAAACGTTGGCCATCGAAAATGAAATTCTACTATTCAAGCTCCTAAGCAGCGGCCAGGTAAACAGTGCTTTGCGGAGGCAGAGTGGAACAACGCCGTGAAGAGCGCAGGCCTTTCCAATCTAATCAAGCGTCCCTTCCTTGTAATTTACGATCAGCCCTCGTGTTCGTTACAACTTTTGATGACTATGACGCGTACTTAATTCTTGAACATAATTCCATCGCGAACTACAAGTAGTGCTTGCCACAGCGGCCTGCAATGATGGTGTACCAGTACTAGCATGTCACTTCATCAGGCCTCTGTCGCAAATCTAGTTTTTTCACACCTCCCGTAATGTCACTCTCACAGGAAAGCTCATGCCCGGTTGCCTTACGACGACTTAAATAACTAATAAAATTGCAGAACCTTGCTGACAGCCACGAGTGCCTCGGATGCGGCGACCGAAATTGGGTAACATTTGTGCCTCGCCAAAAGAAAACAACCAAAGTTTTCATCAGCGAGAAGGCGTCATCTCTTGTTCAAAGCTTCTGGGGCAGTGTGCTAAAAAATTCTCCGGCTGCTCTTCCATCTGTTGCACGCCCACCTTTTTGAAACAGAAGGTAGAGTGATGATTATTCTGAAGTACGCGAGGGTTTTATTGTCTCCTTTTGTGACGTCCGAAAACGTCAGAAAACAAGACCTCTAGAACTAGGCCCCGCAAACAAACAAGTAGAACAATGGGTCACTCAGAGAAAGCAGTACCACGGCGAGAGACAACGGTCCGAAGTGTTGCGGAAACGGGCGCTCAGTAGATTCCACGAAATGGAACCAGGAGAAAGAGCGAAAGCGAGGCGTCATCAGTCGTAGCTCTATAGTAGGCGTTGCGTGTGGCTACTTCCAGCCCGAAAGTGCCGCAACTGCCGCGGTCAAGCACTTTGCGAAGCCAACGTTGCCCAAGGGCAGCACACACGGAGACATAGTAAGTAGCGCGACAAAGATCAAACTACAAAAAAAAGACGCGAGAAAAAGATGAAACGACGATGAAAGGGTGGCTTTCCGAACGAAGAGGGGAAAAAAAGGTAGCGAGTTAGTCTAGCGGCGCAGAACCTTGCGCCTCATGCGTCCCTCGACGAATAATGCATCCGGACCGCACCCTCGCGAAATATTTGAGGAAGCCTGCATCTTTGATGGACCAAGTTGGAATAACGTCATTCGACACCACCGCCTAAACAAAGCCGTCTCGTCGATCCGGGCCAATGAGAACTTCGTTTCCGGCGCGCATCGTGTGACGCTGCACTAACAACTTGGCTGTGCCATAGTTGTACTTCACTCGCGCCTGGGCAAGACTTTCCCAGTTGGTAAGCGAGAAGCTTACAGTGGCATTACAAGGATCATCATAAGCTATAGTGTACTCGGAAACTCTTTTAGATCCCGGAATACACCCGCCAGTTGTCACTGCCTCAAGACGGTTTTCCCTCACCATAGTGATCAGTAGTCGAAAAATAACTTAACGCAAATGCTTCGAAGGAGCACCTCAGAAACTTCATTTTCCGAAGTTTCGCCTAAGAGTTTCCACGCATTGCAAGGCTGCCACCATCGTGGCGTTTAATTGCAGAGATTTTGCCCACCGTTGGCTCACGAAGGCTGAATTGACTTTTGTTCTAGTGAAATTTATTCATTAGTTCGTGATGAGAATAACGTTAATGCCCCACGGAGTTCACCTCGGCTCTTCAATTAATAATAGTAGGTGTCAGGCCTTAGCAAGTGATTGATCATGTTTCATCTTCAAGTGCATCGAAATAATTTACTTTTTTTTTTTGCTTACCTCCAGAAACAAGACAGCTTGCCTCTTGAGGGTAAAATTTTCCAGCTTTAACAGTGAAATATCCGGGCGGTTACATCTCTACTTGCTACATCTGATTTACAGCAAACTTGTGACACTGAAACCATCGGCCGAAACTAATATCGTACAATACAGCATTGGCTCCGGTAATGCGAAGTGCCACCTAGGTGGATGCAAATGTTCCCACTCAATATTCGTCGATTCCATTTTACATCGCTCGTCTAATATGCCAACAGCAGCATACTCAATCTAAGACCCTATGCCAACAAGGTTTTTTTTTCTGAACTTGCGCCTTCTTTCGTTGTTTCGTTAGGATCGGCATAAAACTCGAGTCCCGTTACGCCTACGCATAACGCCCCTACTGACCTGGAGGTGCGCTTCTCGGCACAGCGTACGCGCATGCGGTAAAGCACTCTGTCACCTTCTCACTTTGATGAATGAGGTGGTGCGCCGGGCACACAAAGTTACGTGTTTTTCGCCCCCCACTTATTCTTCTGTAAACACGGGGATAGAAAAGCTTAGTCGTACATTTGGGCAAATAGGTGGATGACCTACAGAAAAACAATTAGGGTGGCGGAGAACAGAGAGGGACGGCGTTGTCGAGACTCTCGCGGTAAAAGTCTTTGTTTGAGTACCTGCGCAGCCTCAGAGGTGACAATTCGTGTGACAGATCAATCACGAGGGCACGCGTCAAATGAATGGCGCAATCAGGTGCTCATCTTTCGCCTTGTACTGACACTAATGGCCAAGCGATAGTGCTACACACGTCGAGGTTTTCAGCAACCGTCATATGCTCGTCCTCCGCGCGCTGCCGACTCGAAATGATCGAGGACTTCGTTTTATTTTACCGTACTCTCATTATAACCACGGTGCTTCGAGCACCCTTACGCTGTCCGTGTGTCTGCTCGAACATTGCCGCGTCGTAATTTGAAATTCCGTCTTCGAGTTGAAACGGAAAAGCTTGCGCGCTCCGCTAAATGTACAAGCAATCGAGCACGCTGTCCCACTACGTACAATAACGAGTCTACAGGGCAAGGCGTAGCCGCCGAATGTATTTGAACAGTCCTTGGGTCTCCAAAAGACATTTCCTTGCTGCCCCACTCCAAATGCAAACAAGGCAGCGTTCGGCGCGGGTGAGAATTCATCGGAAATTATTCAATAACATTCTCCACTGCATGTGTAAATTCTCAGAAGGGCTCGATTCTTTGTCTTGTGCTATTTAAAGAAAAGCTAACATTTTGTTTCTTTGTTGTTGCTTTTTACTTCGTAAATGACATGAAATCGTTTGCAATGCGGTTAGAAAAACTTCCGCTCTGCGCTCGGACCACTTGGGCAATATTTGTTCGTTTTGCTTCACTCCAGCATCTACTGAATTCCGGTCTTTTGGATTGAAAACGGTCAGACAGTTCGGCGGTTCTGAAACCTTCCAACATACCTTCACGAAAGAAAAAAAAAAAAAGTCGGAGGGTTGAGGGCGTGCTGTCAGAAAGATGAAGCTGAGTCAGATGCCGACTCGTAAGGTTGTACCAAGCCGACAACCAAGCCAGCCAGCGAGCCAGTTAGCTGCGTTACGAGACGACGCGCTCACCAGAGTGAGACACGTCCTCGGGACTGGAAGCCTGGTCGAGAAATCGAATAAAGTCGTCCCCCTCCTTTTTTTCTACTCCACGAAGAAGTCTCAACGGGAACCAAACGGCTGCGTCTAATCGAGTCGCCAGAAGATTCCCTCGAGTCTCATTGGATTACCCGAACCTTAAAGGTCGTTAAAGTTTAATACCGCAACTCTGCCACTCTTCACTGCGCCGATTTCAGTCGCCGACGACTGCGCCTACTCACGACGACTGAGCCTACGCGACGGCCAGGACGTGTTTGCGTGCTTATCTATCTATCTATCTATCTATCTATCTATCTATCTATCTATCTATCTATCTATCTATCTATCTATCTATCTATCTATCTATCTATCTATCTATCTCATGAACACTGACCAAAACCACAGCACCATGCAGCTAAACCTAATCACCAGAATGGCCCCGCCGCGGTGGTCTAGTGGCTAAGGTACTCGGCTGCTGACCCGCTGGTTGCAACATCAAATCCCGGCTTCGGCGGCTGCAATCCCGATGGAGGCGAAAATGCTGTAGGCCCGTGTGCTCAGATTTGGATGCACGTTAAAGAACCCCGAGTGGTCGAAATTTCCTAAGCCCTTGACTACGACGCACACCACAATGCTTCGGTTTAGGTACACATTCATGAAAATCAGGCGACAAGAAATGAACATCGCATAATCGTATAGCATGTTTTGACATAAAACTATAATATTTATATTTTCATAGTCACTATCACTTATGGGGTGTGGGGATCCTGCTTAGTTCATTGAAAAATGGGAACCCAAATCTATGTATCTATTGCAGAGCCCTGCCTTAAAAACCGATGCGTGGCAGGCGACTAAAGAAATAGTCCGTTACTGAAATAGCTCGCAACTAAAGAAATAGTCCACTACTAAAGCAAATAAATCAATAGTCTACGACTGAACGATCACAAGTTGCGATGGCCAGCTCCATATGCCATGCCCCCGCTTTAAACCTATATCCACACCGAGGTGGTCTGGCGAGACCACCCTTCCTGCGAAAAAACTGGAAGTGACAATGATCAGTTATTTGTTACCATGTAGATATTCATTCTTTGAAAAAGGCTTCTCCTTATTTTATGTTCTAAGATAGGTTCAAGCTTAACTGCAGGAATCGCACTAAACTTCAGTGCCTCCATTTGGAGGTATTGCCACTGGGATATCTCTGATGCGGTTCAGAATTTTATCAAGCCACTAAATGTATCCCATTGTAATCTCTGCTTTCGCAAATAGTTGTAAAGTAGTACTTAAATGTGCAAAAATTTTACATTATCTATTCAAAAAGTGTCCTGGCCAAACTAATACGGTGATTCGGTCTGCTTGTACAACCGTGTAATAATTACACTATTTCGTGGATATGTGGGTGTTATTTCATCCATATTTGCCTACTATTAATCAATAGGTATTCTTCATGTCATTGTCGAAATGTTAAGATACGCAGTCTTGGCAAAACCCTGCAGAGTCAGTATGTGCCAAAGTGTTGCGTACACAAGCTGAACTGCAGTCACTCACGATCAGACACCGAAATCTGTTTAGGGCCGCGGGGCCACTTAGGCAGGTTGTCAATATTGGAGAGGAGACATTAAGTGCGTTCACCCCAGTCTGTACGCCAAGCCACCTATCCGCTCCAACGTTGCCAACGTAAGCAGAGAAAACGAAGGTGAGAATTCGTACGCGTCAGCTAAGTTCAGTGCCAAGTACCACTGTACTACATACGTCGCACATGCCTTGGTGCGTACATACACCGTCTTGCATGTTAATGTGCGCACGTGTGTTGCACAGCAGCGGCTGCCGATATGTTTGACGTAGCTATGACGTTCAACTCTGGACCAATGCAGCTATTAACCCCAAATCTGCCCACAACTTCAGGTGACGTCACTAAGGTATTTGCTGGTTGCCATAGCACAGTGCATCGGTCGAAGAAACCGCTTCCAGTCATTCGTCACTGAAGTTGACAACCACTGATTGTAGTATGCGTGAGCACAATGTTTCCACCCCTCTTTTTACACAGCTTTACTTCTGCGTCAGTTTCTTGGCTTGGTTAGTCAACTAGTTAGTTAGTTAGTTAGTTAGTTAGTTAGTTTTTTTGTTTGCTTGCTTGTTTGCTTGTTTGCTTGTATGCTTGCTTGCTTGTTTGCTTGCTTGTTTGCTTGTTTGTGTGTTTGTGTGTGTGTGTTTGTTTGTTTGTTTGTTTGTTTGTTTGTTTGTTTGTTTGTTTGTTTGTTTGTCATTGAGTACTGCCGGCCCCACACGTACTCGAGAAGGGTTATAATATAATTTTCTGAATGCTACCGTCATCGATTATATTGAGAGATTCAGTTGGTGCCTTTGCCTCAAGCGAGATTTCATTTGGAACGCAAAATTACTGCCCTATGATTCCCTGTAGTAACAGAGCACTATAGTATCTTTTTTCAACGTTTTAATTCTACAACATTCACGCCAAAACTTTAGAGTTCAATTTCGTCTTCCTTCAAGTAAATAGGGTGTCTCCGTCTTCCGTCATTGCTGTTTCTTTTTAATGTGTATTTCTGAATACAGTGCACAGAAGGCTACAATTTTTGCTGAACTATAATTATTTCCAAGCTTAATCCCTAATGTTACACGTTTTAGATTTGGCTTGCCCTTATTTCTCCGCGTTCTACGCCCCCTCCCCCCCCCCCATTATCTGACCAATCCGCTGCTGTGGGTACGTGGCAACGTCTGAATCATCATCATCAGCTTGGCAGTTGCAAATTCGTGCAAAGGCAGCGCCACCGAGGTAAGCGTTCCTTCCAAATCGTGCATCGAGCCAGATCTGCCGCACCGGCGAAGGGTGGGCCATGTTTCGTCGGAAGCTGTCCAGCAGCGATAGGCTCCTGCACGCCTACGTCGACTCTGACGAGCTTCATCGCATCGAGCTCAACTACAACGAGCACTTGCAGCACGGCCACATGCTGCCATCCGTGCAGTACGACTACGGCCGCTGCCTCATACTCAGCCGTTTCCCGGCAGACATCATCAAGGTATGCGCACACCGCACTTGTACAGGGCATTCCGATATCGCGGGACCTGAATTGACAAGCTCTTGGAAGGCCCCTAACTAGCCTCTGAAAATACAAAAAGTGCCGCCGTATTCACGAAGTGAATGATGATGAGTGGGCGAAGCTCCGGAGGTAAACCTGGTAAACCATGAATCCTCCATACATCTTGCCCACTCTATTTTATTACAAAGCTCCCCCTAATGTACGTCGCTGCACTTAATAGAACGATTGCCTTCCACCGATGACACGCGCCATATGTGACATCATTCCTATTTTAAATAACATCTCGCATCTTTCATCTTCAACTACAAGTACCGCCGTCTATAGTTTATAACATCTAGCATTTTTTCATCATCAGCTACAAGTACGGCCATCTAGTGAACACTGATAAAACTAAACGAGAGGTAGCTACATACAGGGGACGCACAGCCCACGCCTTAAGGCGCTTCGCCCCTAAAAAAATTGTGCTATTCATCTCGGTGTTTCTTGTCGTTACGTAGTACGGCACGATTCACGTTAGCAGCCCGTTCCTGTGACGCCATGAGGAAAGAAGCTTTAGACTGGTTCATATGTGAGAGATATCAGTTGCGATTTGCCTCTTCTTTTGATTAGACATGCAGTCGCACGCCCGTTCTGCCTAGTCTCACATGATTATTGCGCGTGATCAACTGATTTCACTTCGTCTTGTGCGCTTTCGGCTGTGCTCTTCGAGATCACGGCGTGTAGCCAACAAAGCATTAAATGCTGATAGGCTCAACACCTATAGTGCTGAAAGTTTCCCTTGTTTTATGCAGAAATGAGTGGCGAAGAGGCGATATTACTCATAAGATGGGTAGTCAGAACTAGAAATAAAGCACTTTGTTATCTTCGAACACGGAGTCGTTGGGGCCCTTGTCAGGAAACTACTGAGCTCTTTCATCCATAGGTCCAAATTAATCAATGACACGTTGCCTATGTGGTATCTTCTACGTTACCAGAAAGTAGTTGTAATCAACGTGGTGGTATCTACGTGTATTTTATAAGTTACCAGAACAAAGTTGGAATGGCTTCGCTAGATTCCAGTACAATTTGCCGAACTCTGGGACCGAGAAGAATGTGTCATCGCTTCCACTCCCGCGAATACGCTGTGTGTCATTTTAATACGTCATACTGTCCCCTCTGGAGCCACTGACAGCGCTCCCGCTGCAGGTTGTCAATGTCAAACGTGGCAAGTGAACGTTGCCGTGCACGCCGCGGTGCCTCGCAGGGCATCGTACTCATGGAGCAGCTGATTCAACTTGAGTACCGCCCCATCGACTGCTGCTACATGAGCGCGCTGGCACACACGAAGCTCGGCCATTACAACACTGCGCTGCAGTTCACCAAGACCATACTGGTCAAGGAGCCGCGCAACGTCGACGGCAGTGAGCTGCAGGAACTCATCCACCACAAAGTGCTGCGCGAGTACCTCTTTCAAGTGGCCGTCGTCGGCGGTGTGGTGATCATGATCGGAGTGCTGATCTCCATGGTCATGGCGCGACGCTGACACTGCGCCGCTAACAGCTCTCACCAGACCGGTACAAGTGAACGTTACTGTTAAGCCTAAGAACTTCGTGGATGAACTGCGTTGAGCCTGTTTCGAAAGCGGGAGCTACTTCTCGCAGGGAGAGCTCTTTCTCTGCAGCCTTTGCTTTCTAGTTGGGTAGGTTGAAAAAAAACAACAAGCCGGTTGCCCATTATCAACACGATGCCAAAAGTTGTCAATGGGCTCTCAGTCTTTGTGTATGCTCCACATTGCTCTGTCTTATTCTGTCCTCTGCGTCTCAAACCTGGATGTACAGCGACTGAAATAAGATCAAGTATGTAGAGAGTCATGTCTTCAGGCCGCTGTTGCGAACTTATATTTTTTTCCACTATATATCAGCATTGCCTCTCGGTATAACAGCATAACAGTTCTGTAGAATTGCGTAGGTTATAAAAGTAGTTGTGTGAAGAACCAGCCTATGTCCTAATCTAGGCTCTCCTAATCTAAGACATCAAAAACCGAGTTGAGAAGCAAAGCATTAGCATATTCTGCTTAATGGTAGTAGCCACCTTAGAAACGTATTAGAAAGTGTGTTGTAAGTGTATTCGAACGTGTGAAAACACGGACACAAAGGAAGAGAAATAGGCAACAGAAACACCTTACTTTTTTACCGAACAGTTCATTTACCAGTAAAAACATATTATCCCTTCGAAACGATTCAAGTCACTGAGTTGGCTGAACTAGTTGATGAGTTTCTGCATCTGGCGAAAACCGCGCTTCGTAAATCACTAACGTGACGTTGTTCGCGTCGTAATCACGTACCGCTTGGCGTGATTTCTGACGCGGCACTAACATTTGTACTGCATACGAAGTACAGCCCGAGCTCACTTTTACAAGATTTCAGTTTGTACACTCTGGAAACATCTTCACTGGCAGTTAAGTGGACGGGAGCGAAAGGGTGGTAAAAATCATGACAATCGTTGCAAACATACGATGTTCGTAGTGACCGCAGTGATTTGCGTTGTCATTTGGGTCACTTCATTAATCTTTACGATTAGAGTTCATGCTAGAGCTCGTACATTTGCTGCCGCATAAGGCATGTGTTTCTTTATGATAACAGAATTGAGATAAAAATCCTCTTGTAAAGTTCGCAAGACCTCTAAATAAAAAAAATCTACCTGCTCTCAGATTTAAAAAAGAACAAACGCGGCAACTGTACGCTTTTCAATGTCCTAGAATCGCTTTTAAATTCATGCTGCACAGATAATATATAAAAGTAATGTCTATAATTAATGCTGTTATACGCCACATTTCTCAGTAGAGCAAACAAAACCAGCATCGCAGAGCTCTACATGTCGAATGGCTATATGACTATCTTACGCCACACGTCTAGTTTCTGTGCCTAGCAACGCAAAACTATGACGGGGCCTTTTTGCACAAGGCCACGTAGTGCAGATATTTTACCCTCTCTGGTGGTGAGCGCAACAAAGCATTCACGTTTTCACTAAGCGGCGCCTAGCAACAAGCTCGTTTAAGTTGTTTTGTTTTTCAGTACACTATGATACTGTCATACGTTGACAAAGCAAACTTGGTTTGGCTGCGTGCTAAAGCAAGTTTTAAACCTCAGCCAAGGAGTGCGTCTGTAGCATAATTCCACGCTTCAGGGCATTGCCCTGTGGTCGATCTCGTAATAACCAACACCCCCTGCCAACCCCCTAAAATTGGTTTTTCCGAGTTACGTGTTCCCCGTAACTTGTCTTTGACTACTAGGACGTTAACCCCAAAACATCATGAAGTATAAGATGCTTGTACCCTGATAACAAAAGGCGCGCCATGCTAACACACGCATATCGCATGAACCAAACATGGGCCATATATAAACTGCTGCCAAGCTTGAACGTTTGGCAAGGGTGAACGTTATGTGTGTGCTAACGCAATTTTATTGCAATAATAGGCTCGCTTTCTTGGTGCGGTTAGCCACGCCAACGGCAAAGGACAACGAGCGATTCACCCAGAATTAATTTCTTTTTTTCTCATGCAAAGCAAATTCTACAAAAGCTGTTTGTATCCTCTTCATTGTCTCTAACAATTGACTGCCCCCGCTGCGTAACTTAAATCGACACTGCATACTCCTATTTCGTTTTTCGTTTTTTTTTAAGATAAGAGAAACAGAGGACGACATTACAATGAGAATACCCTATGAAAATAGTTTTGGCTTATGATATGCCACAAAGCTTCTTTTTTTGCAAGGTCATTGTGCATGGTTCGTTTGATGATCGGCCGTTCGCTGAAACCAGATCCATCCATTCAAAGCAAAGTTCAAACATATTCCAGACCCTTCACTTTTTTCTCCTCTTTTATATATGCGCTGTTTCACTACAATTATTTTCTTTATTCTTTCTTCATGGTTTCTCTTTGCGATCTTCACTAAATAAAAGAGTAAAAAGGAATGGTTTCACGGCCTGCCTTATCAGAAACCGTGAACGAATGCACATGTTGTGAGCAGCAAATATTTATTTAGAGGGGCTTTTTGTTTGAATTCTCTCATTTATTCCCCCTGCTCCACTGTACACCGTTAGGTCCCTCCGTGCGCAAAACGTGGCGTGGCTAGCAGGTTTCTCGCAGCAGAACGACCCAGTAGAAAAGGTAGATACAGCAAACCGAAACGTTCTCATGTGACTGCGTTACACACCCGATACAGCATTACAGACACAACTTGATTGATTTATTGATATGTGGAGTTTAACGTCCCAAAACCACCATATGATTATGAAAAACGCCGAGGTTGAGGGCTCCGGAAATTCCGACCACCTTGGGTTCTTAAACGTGCACCCAAATCTGAGCACATGGGCCTGCAACATTTCCGCCTCCATCGGAAATGCAGCCGCTGCGGCCGGGATTCGATCCCGCGACCTGCGGGTCAGCAGCCGAGTACCTTAGCCACTAGACCACCACGGTGGGGCACACAACTTCAACGGCACGTATACCATGTATTGAAGAACTGCGCCACAAGCTGTTCCGTAACATATTCCAAGCCTTTTATCAATCCATCAATCAAATAAATCGTAATTTTGAACAGTTCTTTTTACAATTTGTTGGAGGTCTTTCAGGCGAAAAGCTGTTGCAAAGAGCTTGAAAGTGCCTGAAGGCCCTTTATAACAGCCCTATGCATGCGAATATTCTCAAGAATTTAATGAAACGATCTCTGTAGTCTTGGGGAGTAAGCGTCGGTATGGCTGGGATAAACGCCCGTTTAGTAACTTAGGACACTATCCTCTCACTTGTTTCTAGGCAGATGGCGCACAATGGTCAGTCAAAACGTTGGTAGCGATCTTGTTTCCTTGCACAGGCATTCTTGTTTAAAAAACGCTCTGTGTAGGTTGGCGGCATCATTTATCTAATGCGCCGTAACGCTTCTTGATTAAAAAGTTGAAGTGACATAAGCTGGATGTGAAGCGTGGACTGTGACTACTGCAAGCTTTCCCCACCATAGTTTCGATTCCGACGAGCACAAGCTCTCCATTTAATCCTTTCCCAAGTTTCTACCACCACAATATTTAGATTATGATTGCTTTATCCTTCATAGCTAATCCATAAGCTTTTTATGTCACTAAATTTATCCGACATTCATGTTTTTGTGCCATGACCATGTCTATTACATTATGGCATTGCCTGTATCTGATCTACGCACACAACTTGCATTATTTTCACATCAACATTCATTCGAATATTCACTTGCGTCTAGCCGTCATCAGCTCGTCTATTAAAGACGATAGTCTTTCCTGGGGACCTTTGACACAAAAATTTTGGTCTGTCTGTCTCTACATTTGTGTGTACAAAAATTTTGGTCTGTCTGTCTCTACATTTGTGTGTTTGTCAACTCTTACCGGCATCGGTACGTGAAACGGCCGACTCCATCCGCAGCGACCACCAACGTTGCTCAACGTTTAGCGTTCATGCTTGTGCAATTGTCAATTAAAAAACAACGATTGCGCATGTCTGGGGCACCATAACAACACGAATATATTCTGCATATTCATCTCTTACTAGAAAACGCATAAATAAGTAATTTTAAGGACCGTAGTGCTTTTCACGCTGCGCTTACCATGCAACGCTTGCACGGAACGGGGAGTGTTCCCAACGCTTTGCTAAGACGAGATGGTGGTGGCACCTACCCGTCGCCACGCGTTTTACAGCTTATCACCCCTGAGACGGGCGCGCACGGCCACGCGCTTTGTTTTCCAATAGAAACAGCCAGGTGGCGCTCATGTCTCACGTGTGACGTGATTTTATGCGCTCGTTCGCCTCCGCTGCACGCTCGAAGCACTCTAACGCAGCGCCTCCGGAATACCATTCACCGATTTTTTTGCGCAGAACATCAAATAAATGTTTTGTTCACTCTCTCCACACGCAATACTATCGTCTTTCGACGGCATTTGCAGAATACATGCAGATACGGGGCAATCTTTTATTTGATATTTGTCTATAAATATTTATACTCATGAGTGTACAGCTTTATGGGCGTTTCAAAATATTGATTGATTGATCAATTGATCAATTTACTGATTAATTAATAAACACATAATTAATTTATTGATTGTCTTCTACCCCTAGTTTCATGTCTCGCGAGTTCAGCGCCCGAGAAGGGGCTTGAAAACGTCACGTGGCACTGGGCAACCTCAGCCGCCCGCACGGACATTAAGCAACAATACATGATGCTTCGCGTTCGCAGTACAACAGGCATGCTTTGCAAGATAGCACCACCGAATTAAACTGCTACGATCTAATTTAAGAAATAAAGCTTATTAGTAACCGACCACGGTTCTTGTTAATGTTGTGCCTCTCAAAAGCGTCGACTGGAAAACTTTCTGGTCCGTGAGAGGTGTTAATCGGGCTGTTTCTTTCTTCTTCTTGCTCAGTCCTTCGCACGACTTTATTTGCTTAGCGGCGGAAAACTAAGCATGCCCGCAGTGGCCTCAGCCGGAAGGTGCCTTAGGCTGTTTTCATTTAATCAGACAGCC